CTTTTCTCTACCTGTCTTTCGTAAGGCTCCTTTCTTTGTCTTTGACTTTTGAGAGGGTTTTTTTAGACAGAGCCTTAAGCTGTCGCCCTTGGTAGAGTGCTGTGACATCACAGCTCACAGCAACCTCCAACTCCTGGGCTCAAGCAATTCTCCTGCTTCCACCTCCCAAGTAGCTGGGACTACAGGCACCTGCCACAACGCCCAGCTATTTTTTGGTTGCAGCCATCATTGATGTTTGGCAGGCCCAGGCTGGATTCGAACCTACCAGCTCAGGTGTATGTAGTTGGGCCTTAGCCACTTGAGCCACGGTTGCCAAGCCTATATTCACAACTTTTTTAATGTTTTTTCTTTTAGTTCATAATGACATTTTCATCATGCAATCAAGAGAATTCACAGGGACAGCATATGCCTGTCTGTTTACCACGTCCCTTTTCATTTACTCACTAATGTATGAAGTATAATACACCACACAGGCTCACTGAGTATTCATTGAAAATTGCTAATGTCCCTCAGTGTGTGGTATTTCTCATACTATAAAAGAGTTCACAGAGAATTCAATTATATAAACTGAAGATTAAGGTTTACATCCAAGTGATAACAAAAAACTCAGTAAACCCAGTATAAATTTGAATTGATTCAAGAAAAAGAGACACTCACCCAATGTTTGATTGATTATGTAGACCAGTGAATCTTTTGGGGGTCAAGGGGAACTTTCTGCTTCTGAGCTAAATGATCCTACATGTATCAACTGAGGTACACCTGAACCACAAGTTCATAATTATACCTCAAATATAGATTCAGAAGCCAGAGACCTGCTTCATTCCTCCTTTTATAATGTTCAGAAAAGTGAGCCTCTGAAGTGAGGCTTATCACTGAGAGAAGCGTTCTGAGGCCTGCTTGGTCCTCTTCTGTGTGTCCTCACACCAGTGACTCTATCCCTACCTTCTGAAGACTGGAACCTCCTCTATGGTCCTCAGTTTTTCCCCACTCCATCTCAGACATCTCTAAATCTGACCCAGCATTCCATTTTCCATCCAAATTCACAACTTTGCTGGCATTTGATTGAGTGCCTCTTCCCATTCCAATTTTAATTTTTGACTTTTATGTTAAAATGTGGTAGAATCCTAGTTAAATTCTGTTCACTTAAACATGTTCATCTGAGTATTAGGAGATAATTATGATGTTTTCGAAGAACACAAAAATAATATTTAACCCTAGAGAGCTTTTTAAAGGAATTATTTACAACTTCTCAATGCATACACAAAATGATTACAGATTAGCAAAGAACCAAATATATATACAATGAAACTTGTGTTTTTCAAATCTATGAGGCTGAATCTTACTTATCCTTGTAACTTCCACAGATCAAACATAACTTCTTAGAAACATAGAAACAGTAGTGGTAGAAACAACCACCCAAACAACAGCAACAGTAATAAGAACTAACAGTGCACTTGCTGCATACCACACATAGTTCTGAAAATTTTAACAAAGGTTTAACAAAGAATTTATTTAATTCTTATCCATTATTACTATCATGATCTCTATTTTCTGATGAAAAAAAACTGAGGCATAATGGGGTTAGTATATGACCAAGATCCCCAGCTAATAAATGACAGCTAGAATTTTAATCTGAGCAGTCTTGGTCCAGAGTCAGCTTTCTTCAACCACTATACCATAACGTCTCTAGTAGGCATAAATATTTGCTGAATGGAATACACTTATCTCTAGAAATATACAAAGGCAATGAGAATTCTGTATTGAAAAAGTCAATGTACAGTTTACATCCCTACTGCAGGTATGCATTCACCTAGAGCAATACTCTGACCCTGTTTGCCCAGTGCTTTATCTCAAGGCAATATGTAGCATTTATACCTTTTTACTACCTTTTCTTTAAATCTTCTTACACAGTAAAATTAATTCAGAAAAAGTAACATGTACCTAAAATATACACTTAATTTAATATGCACTTAATTTACTGCAATTAATCATCAAGTTGGAAAATCATAATAGATCACTGGACAAAATACTACATAAAAATTATTCTTACCCCAGCTTTTAGTAAATTCCACGTATAATCTATGGCACAAATGGCACCTGTTCTTCCACAGCCTGCACTAAGGATATAAAGTTTAAAAAAATAATTTGATTTTTATAATAAAAGAAATATAAAATATTACTTGAACATAAGCACTATAAAAAGTACAAAAAAAAAGAAATATAAAATAAATGTAGATGGACATGCTATTCAGAAACAAAAAAATCATTCAAGAAATGTGACAAACTACAACTAAAAATGTGTGCAGGGCAACATCCTTCACATTAGTTTTTTTATAGCAGTATCTCCTTATCCATAGGGGATATGGTCCAAATTCCCAGTGGATGCCTAAAAGTGTAAACTGTCTTGAGTCTGTTTTTTTTACTATGTTTTTTCTGACACATACATACCTAAGATAAAATCTAATTCACAAATTAGGCACAGTAAGGGAGCAACAGCAATAACTAATAATAAAACGCTTGTAACAATACCCCAGTACTACTATCCTTATACTTAGTGGTGTGGGGGAACCTGCAGCCTCCCAACTTCAAGATTGTTTTTTTTTAAGCAGCAAAGGAAGCAAGAAAAGCTTCATCTTTCTCCCCTGCATCCCTTTTAATAAAGGACATGTTTTGTAAAATTTGGATTTAGTCAAAAGACCCCAGTCAAGGAGTCAGAAGGCGACCTGTGGCCCCAAAGCTGCAGATACCCACCCCCTTCAGGTTAAGTGAAACTGAATAAAGTGAAATCACAAATAAGGGTACTGCTGTCTGTCTTTTTGAAATTTAAGAAACTTTCAAGAGTAACTCACACAATACCTATGAACCTTCACTCTGCAAGTCTAACTGTACTTCAGAAAACTTTCATAAGCTAATAACATCTTATAAGGATAAATATATTCTATGTTTAAGATGACTGGTGTTCTATAGCAGAAAAGGAGGAAGGGATAGTACATCTGCAAAAAAGATACAGCAAAGATAAAGGAAGCTGCAAAGCCCTAGAAAGTGGGTTGAGTACCAGTAGTGATTTCATAAAAAGAACAGAGATAAATGATTCATTCTCACCTCCTAAAGAATTAATGGGAGCTAGAGAATGCAGTGCCAGGTTTTTTTTTTTTTTGAGACAGAGCCTCAAGCTGTCCCCCTGGGTAGAGTGCCGTGGCATTACAGCTCACAGCAACCTCCAACTCCTGGGCTCAAGCGAGTCTCCTGCCTCAGCCTCCCAAGTAGCTGGGACTACAGGCGCCCGCCACAACGCCCGGCTATTTTTTGGTTGCAGCCATCATTGTTGTTTGGTGGGTCCGGGCTGGGGATTCGAACCCACCACCTTAGGTGTACGTGGCTGGCGCCTTAGCCGGTTGAGCTATAGGCGCCGAGCCCAGTGCCAGGTTTTTAATTTAATTTTACTTTTTTGAGACAAAATCTCACTGTCTCACCCTGGGGTTGAGTGCCACAGCATCAGCCTAGCTCACAGAAATCTCAAATTCCTGGGCTCAAGTGATCCTCTTGCCTTAGCCTTCCAAGTAGCTGAGACTACAGGCACCTGCTATAACACCTAGCTAATTTTTTTATTTTTAGCTGAGACAGGGTCCCACTCTTACTCAGGTTGGTCTCCAACTCCTGAGCTCAAGCAATCTACTGCTTTGGCCTCCCACAAGTGTTAGGATTATAGGCATTAGCCACTTTGCTTGACCGACAAAAATGCTTGAAAAGAACTGATTCTCAACTAGAAGAAGACACACACGTCATAAGATTAAAAAATCAGTATGAGTAATTAAAAGATGTTACTGACATCATCAGGATAATTTTTAAGCAAGAAAAACCTTTTGTATGACATTCTAATGCACAATTCAAAACTTTTAAGTGTCAATAGTTTAAGTGTGTAATCTAAAAATTCCTAACAAAGGTACATTAAAAGCAACTTAGTATGATTTTCATGCTCTTAATAATAAACATCAATAATATTAATTCTTAGCTATTGATAAATTTCTGAATTCCATGTATCAAAATATTTCTAGGACTAAAATAATATATATTTAAAATTTGATAGTTAAAAGCATGGTATTACAAAGACAGAAATCAGATTAGTGGCATATAATAGAAAATTCAGAAACAGATTTGAGTATATGTAAGTATTTATTACTTAATGGTGAATTCCCCAAAGGGGAAAGAGTAGACTTTTCAATAAATGATATAGGAAATTGTCACCAAAGAAGAACTAACATTAGATTCTTACCTCATACAATAACAACAACAACAAAAAAATCCTAAGTGGATTTAAAGTATCATGTTAAAAACTCAATCTATAGATTTTAGTACTTTATTACTTTATTACTTTAGTACTTTATTAAGTACTTTAGGCTCGGCACCCATAGCATAGTGGTGACGGTGCCGAGGCTGGTGGGTTCGAACCTGGCCCAGGCCAGTTAAACAACAATGAAAACTGCAACAAAAAATAGCCGAGCGTTGTGGCGGGCGCCTGTAGTCCCAGCTACTCGGGAGGCTGAGGCAAGAAAATGGCTTAAGATGAAGAGGTGGAGGTTGCTGTGAGCTGTGATGCCACAGCACTCTACCGAGGGCAACAAGTGAAGACTCTGTCTCAAAAAAAAAAAGGACTTTAAAAAAAAAGGTAAAAATTTTACACTCCTGTGTTAAAGACTAAGCATATTTCAGTGGACAAAAACCACAAACAAAGAGATTCACAAATTTGACTACATGACAATTTAAACTGTGTCTTGTCAAAACATAGGCAGAAAACATGAAAAACCATGGTATTTACATGATTAAAAGGATAGTACCCTGAAAATATAAATATAAAAAAGTAATTTGTGCAAGAACTAAAAGTTAAATGCCTGTTATAAAATAAAAGGCAAAAAAAACAGAAAAATAAGTAATTCACATAAGGTATAAATGAATGAGGCAAAAAACCTTGCCTCTCACATAGGAATTAAAAAGCAAATAAAAGGCCTCTGGGAGGCAGAGGCTTCTAGGATTGCTTGAGCACATATATTGTGAGCTAGGCAGTGAGAGTCTCTCTTTCTCAAAAAAAAAAAAAAAAAAAAAAGGAAACAAAAAGCACATTACCGGGGAGGGTATAGGGAAACAGGCACTCCCACATATTGTCACTGGTAGGATTAACTGGCATCAATTTTATGGGTAAAAACTTTTGCTGGGCGATGTGGCTCATGCCTGTAATCCTAGCACTCTGGTTGGCCAAGGTGGGTGGACTGCTTGAGATCAGAAGTTCGAGACCAGCCTGAGCAAGAGCAAGACCCCGTCTCTAAAAGCTAGCCAAGTATTACGGTGGATGCCTATAGTTCCAGCTACTCAGGAGGCTGAGGCAAGAGGATTGTTTGAGCCCAGCAGTTTGAGGTTGCCATAAGGTATGATACCACAGCACGGGACCCAGAGTGACAAAGAGAGACCCTGTCTCAAAAAATAAATAAAAAAATTAAGTATTTGTTAAAAGCATGAGGGTGGCACCTGTGGCTCAAAGGAGTAGGGCACTGGCCCCATATGCTGGAGGTGGCGGGTTTGAACCCAGAGCCCTGGCCAAAAAAAGAGGTAAAACCATGAAAAAGTTTGGGTCCTTTGATCTAGAAATTCCACTTCTAGATAAAATCTCAATAAAATAATTGGAGATGTGCTCAAAGATTTAACCATAAGACTGGCAACTTAGGCTCGGCGCCTATGGCTCAAGTGGCTAAGGCACCAGCTACATACACCCAAGGTGGCAGGTTTGAATCCGGCCCAGGCCTGCCAAAAACAACAAAGATGGCTGCAACCAAAAAATAGCCAAGCGTTGTGGCAGGCGCCTATGGTCCCAGCTACTTGGGAGGCTGAGGCAGGAGACTCACTTGAGCCTAGGAGTTGGAGGTTGCTGTGAGTTGTGATGCCACAGCACTCTATCCAGAGGGACAGCCTGAGGCTCTGTCTCAGAAAAAAAAAAAAAAAAAGACTGGCAACTTAAGTAAACTAAAACAAAAAACAGACTAGTCACTGAGCATTTAAATTATTTAAAATAGCTGAAAAAGTAAGGGTGAGTAAGGTACCAAATTAAAAGGCAAGAATGATGGTTAAACAGATAGTACATACTGTATTATAGAAGAATATTTATACACTCTAGAAAGACACATTATATACTAAAAGGGAAAACATTCTTTGTTAAAAATACCATACATAGGCATATACACACTAAAAGGACATTCTAAAATTTTAACAATGTGTCACCTCTAGTAGAACTAATGCAAGGAAAAAGGATTTGCTGCCTTTTATGGATGTGTTATTCATTTAGTTTTGCAGGTTTTTTCTTTTTTGGCCAGGGCTGGGTTTGAACCCACCACCTCTGGTATATGAGGTTGGTACCCTACTCCTTTGAGCCACAGATGCCTCCCTATGGAAGTGTTTTTTAAATCATTATAGTTAACATTCTTTTTTTGCTTTTTAAAAATAGTAAATGGTCTATTTACTCATTCACTCACTTCCTTATTTATTTTGAGACACAGTCTCATTCTGTTACTCAGGGTGCCATGATGTCACCGGAGTTCACAGCAACCTCAGTAGCTGGGATTACAGGCACCCATGACAACACTCAGCTAATTTTTCTACTTTTTGTGGAGATGGGGTCTCACTCTTGCTGAGGCTGGTCTTGGAACTCCTGAACTCAAGGGATCCTCCCACCTTGACCTCCCAGAATACTAAGATTACAGGCATGAGCCACCTTGCCCAGCTGGGCAATTTGTTTTTTAATAGAAAACCTTAGTGACATGGAATAGGAAATAATTCCAACTAACTTGAAAGAAATCAAGTCAAATTAACTTAAATTTTAATTCTATAATTACGTATTTTTTTTGGTTTTGGCCAGTCAACTACTTAATTAAATGGTCAACTAACTACTGAATTAACTACAAAAAAAACTGCCTTAATCAGTCAAGTTAACTGATTCCCACATTTCCAATAGCAAGTCACTTTCCTGGCCCATAAATAAAAAGTAGCCTTATTTACTTCACTAATTACAGGTACTATAATCATACTAACTGGATAAGAAAACTATCTTCAGTACTTTATACTCACGTACAAAAAAATCCTTTACCTATTTCAACTAACAATAAATCTCTAAGTCTGAAAAAAATTCCTTCTTTTAATTTATTTTTTGAGATAGAGTCTTGTGTAGTGGCATGATCATAGCTCACTGCAGCCTCAAACTTCTGGCTGGCTCGGCGCCTGTGGCTCAAGTGGCTAAGGCGCCAGCCACATACACCTAAGGTGGCGAGTTTGAATCCAGCCTGGGCCCGCCAAACAACAATGATGGTTGCAACCAAAAAATGGCTAAGGCATTGGGGCGGGTGCCTGTGGTCCCAGCTACTTGGGAGGCTGAGGAAGGAGACTCGCTTGAGCCCAGGAGTTGGAGGTTGCTATAAGCTGTGATGCCATGGCACTCTACCCAGGGGACAGCTTGAGACTCCGTCTCAAAAAAAAAAAAAACTTCTGGCTGGGCTCAAGTAATCCTTCAGCCTCTGCCACCAAGTAGCTGGGACTAGAGGTATATGCTACCACACAAGGTTAATTAAAAACAATTTTTTTGTGATAGGGTCTCACTATGTTCCACAGGCTGGTCTTTAACTCTTTACCTTAAAAATGCCTAGGAAATGCATATTAATGTCACCTTACTGTAACAGTGCTAACTTCCTGTCAGTAGCTACAACTAATATAATTTTGTGACATGACAGGTAGTGGTACAAATAGGAAAACTAATGCACCTTAGGAATGGTAATAGCATTGAGTTTTTCATCAATTCTAAAACATACTGTCAATCTACATTGTAATAGCTCTGAAACTGGTATATATCTTATCATCAATGTCTTCTTACAAAAGACATTTTCCACTTTTTTTTTTTAAATTTGGTTGGGGCCAGGTTCAAACTCACCACCCTCGATATATGAGGCCAATGCCCTACTCACTGAGCCACAGGTGCCGCCCAGACATTTTCCACTCTTAATGCACGTAAAGTAAGTGTGTCTTAGAATTGATAGTATCTTAGATCAATAAGAGCCTATGTATGTATATCTATATACATTTATATTTTAAAAAATCTCATGTCTGTGTTCATCAAGCATGAAAACTGCTTGGCCACTTGAAGAAAATTGATTGAAATACTGTATTGGCTCGGTGCCTGCAGCTCAAGTGGCTAAGGCGCCAGCCACATACACGTAAGGTGGCAGGTTTGAATCCAGCCCAGGCCTGCCAAACAACAATGATGGCTGCAACCAAAAAATAGCCAGGCGTTTGTGGCGGGCGCCTGTGGTCCCAGCTACTTGGGAGGCTGAGGCAGGAGACTCACTTGAGCCCCGGAGTTGAAGGTTGCTGTGAGCTATGATGCCACAGCACTCTACCCAGGGGGACAGCTTGAGGCTCTGTCTCCAAAAAAAAGAAATATTACTGTATTTGACTTTAAGAAGTACAGTGTGATGAGCATACTGAGACCATATGCTCTAACTGGAGAACAATAAAAAGAGTATATTCTAGGGCGGCACTGTGGCTCAAAGGAGTAGGGCGCCAACCCCATATGCTGGAGGTGGCGGGTTCAAACCCAGCCCCGGCCAAAAACTGCAAAAAAAAAAAAGAGTATATTCTATACTTTTACACCACATTCTATAGTTTGAATACCATTTTCTTTTTTTTTCTTCTTTTCGAGACAGAGTCTCACTCTATCGCCCTTTGTAGAATGCCATGGCGTCACACAGCTCACAGCAACCTCCAACTCTTGAGCTTAGGCAATTCTTTTGCCTCAGCCTCCTGAGTACCTGGGACTATAGGCGCCCACCACAACACCTGGCTATTTTTTTGTTGCAGTTTGGCTGGGGCCAGGTTTGAACCTGCCACCCTCAGTATATGGGGCCAGTGCCCTACCCGCTGAGCCACAGGTGTTGCCCCTTGAATACCATTTTCAAATAGATGATAACTAACTTTATCTGGAAGTCAAACCTTTTTTTTGTTTTTTTCCTGCCACCATAGGAAAAGTAAGAGTTGTCTTAGAGTCAGATGCGCTATTGTTGTGCTACAAGGTCTGAAAAATAAAAGTTGGCTTGGGCCACACATTAAATTCACAAACACTAACAAAAGCTGATGAGATTTAAAAAAAGATTCATGCATAATTTCTGCGATATGTGACACCAAAGATAAGCAAAACTGGTCTCAAATAATCCACATAGGCTGTAGGCTGGATACTCAGTCTAAATGGGCTATCAACCAGATAAGATTATATCAATTTGCAGTCTGAAACATGCTATATATCAAGGCCAGGAGAAATATTAATGCAGAAATAAAACTGCATTTAACATTAAACTTAAAGAAAAATATGGTATTTCTATGTTTGCGAAATTCTTTTGTACCTGCAATGAATACAAATAGGCACATCTTCATGTTCTTGATATTTCCTCATTAAGCTTATCATGTCCAGAATAGAATCAAATGATGATGGAACATCATGGTCTGGCCAGTTCACATAATGAAACTGATATAGCCTACGAGATTCCTTTGAGAGAAACAAATTCAATAATTACAAAAACACATTTATAAATGTTTAAAGCTGCATATCTTATTTAACTATAATTTCTAAGACATCTCTATATGGTATTTAGCACTGCCTACCCAAAAAAAGAAAAGAAAGAAAAACGAAATAAATAATAACCTACACTTTTGACTATTTACTATATAACAAGTAGGATCCAAGGGTTTCACACATGTAACAGTTTTATTTAATCTCCATGAGGAAAAGGACTCTTCATACTATCTATCCTCATTTTATAAGGAAACAGAAAGATAAAATGATGTGCCTAAACTTTCACTGGAAGTGACAAATGTAGAAGGTAAACTCAGCAGTCTTAATTCTAGAATGTGTATTTTAATCATTACACTATATATACTCTCCAACTAATCTACACTATTAAATGGACATGAGCAATATACCATAAACATTATATTAGAATCTATTGTAATTAGATTAATAGACTATTAAATCGAAATAGAATTTAGAAATCATCTAGTCCAATCCACTTGTCTTATTATAGGTCTGGGTATACCCACTTCCTTGGGCCCTTTCATGGAGGATCTATAAGTTTTAAGTAATTTTCAGAATAATACTAAGGTGTTATTTGCCTTTTTCTTTAATAGTTAATGGTATATGTGCTTGTATATTTCTGTTTTTAAAAATTTCTGTTCTAATTTTAAATTTTTGTAAATAATGAAAGATAGAACCCACATAAATAAAAGTTTTGTGGGGTCTCCAATAAATTTTAAGGATGGGAAGAAATCGTGAAGTCAAAATGTTTTGAGAACAATTAATCTAAGTGTTGGACAGAAACTACTTAGAATCTAGAAAAAACTGTATTCAAAGTCTACTTTTGCCATTTACTGAGTAACTTTAGGCAAGCTATTTAACTTTTCAAAGCCTCTATTTTTTATTTATATGTCATGAGAGTTAACAATATCTGCTATTATGAAGTTAAGAGGACTGAGATGTCTGATATAGTACAGAAATTCAACCAGGTGCTTATTATTACCATAAATTAAAAAATGGTAACCAAAGTAAAATAAATAACTCATCTAAAGGGACACAATTAATAAAAGTCAATGGGGCCGCTTATCAACAAGAAGAAAGGAAGTTGCAGGTATGATTACAAAACATGAATTAGGGAGAATGATGTATTTCATCACCAAGATGAATTACTTACAATGATTTAAAAATTAAGATATTAAAATAGAGAGATGAGGAAGAAATTGACAGCATTCTTTTAATGTCCATCAGATTTTCTTTGATTCTTTCCCAGAGAAATTATCATTTTATATATCTCTGAACACTAAAATCAAGAGCCTCAAGTAAAAACAATATATATGTAAATGGAGACCTAGCTTTGATAATGATTTGTCTTTAAAAAATTGTAAACTAGTAGAAGAGAGTAATAATTATGTAAACAATACAATAATCTGCTTTCTGCAATAAAGGGAAAATATTTGCAGTAAGAAGGCATAACTGTTCCAAATACAGTAAATTTAATCTAGGAATAGTTCTTAAGTTATAATTTAATTACCTATTAGGTAATTTGATAGGTCTCAATACTAAATAAAACAGTGATTTTGTTCCTATTAACTTAAGAAATAAATTTCCTTAACTATGTTAAACAAGATAATATACTATTTATATATTGTCTCTTTGAGAACTATTCTTAAGAGACTGTCTCTAAATATAAAGTACCTACATTTTTAAATTCAAGTAAGAGTGTCCTAATGAAGTAGTCTGTTCTTGCTTGTTCATCCTCCTAAATAAAGAGAACCACTTGTGAGTCAGTGAAACATTAAAACAAAAACATAGATGGAATAAAGCAAAATACCTGTATTAAAGTCCACAATATAAAATAACCTTTAAAATTCAGGTGCATTTGATAATTATAAAAATAATCATTCTTAAAATCATCAATTTGCTTAGAGTGATAAATATGCTAATTATCCTGATTTGATCATTCCACATTATGTACACGGTGTACTGAAATATCACACTGCATCCAATAAATATGTATAATCATTATGTGTCAACTGAAAATATAATAACAATAAAAGAAGCCAATCTTCATATTGACATACTGTATATTTTAACTATAATATACAGTTTTGCCTGGAAAAGGCAAAACTATGGAGACAGTAAAAAGATCAATAGCTGCCAGGGTTTAGAGAAAGGATAAGGGGAAGGGATGAATGGGAGGAGCACAGAATTCTTAGGGCAATGACACTATTCTGCACAACACTATGATGGTGGATACATATAACTACACATTTGTTTAAACCCACAGAATGCAAAATACTAAGAATGAATTCTTTTTTTTTTTTTTTTTTTTTTTTTTACAGAGCCTCAAGCTGTCCCCCTGGGTAGAGTACCATGGCATCACAGCTCACAGCAATCTCCAACTCCTGGGCTCAAGTGAGTCTCCTGCCTCAGCCTCCCAAGTAGCTGAGACCATGGGCACTCCCCACAATGCCCAGCTATTTTTTGGTTGCAGCTGTCATTGTTGTTTGGTGGGCCTGGGCTGGATTCGAACCCACCACCTTAGGTGTTTGTGGCTGGTGTCTCAGCCACTTGAGCTACAGGCGCCGAGCCTAAGAATGAATTCTAATGTAAACTATGAGCTCTGGATAATAAAGATGTGTTCATGCAGGTTCAATTATAACAAATGGACCCCTTTAGGGGAATATGTTGGTAAAATGCAAGACCACACATGTGGGGCGGGAGGCACATGGGAAATCTCTGTAGTTTCCTGTCAATTTGTTGCCTAAAATTGTTCTTATAAAGTCTTAAAATCTTCTACTAGATATACCAAAGCAATATGAACAAAAAGAAACAATTTTGTTGTTGGGAATCAAAGAATGTTTTCTACTACACTAAAATATTTGAAAGAAATGTTTATACTCCTACTATCCCATTACTAGGTATCCACCCAAAAGAAAAAAAATCATTTCATTTTATCATAAGGACATGTGCACTCAAATGTTTAAAGCAGCCTAATTTACAATCACAAAAAAAAGTGGAAACAATCCAAGTGCTTTTCAACACCCAAATGGATTAATAAACAGTGGCATATGTATACTATGGATTACTACTCAGTTATAAAAAAGATGGAAATTTTCTATCTTTTCTAACTATCTGGATGGATTTGGAGAATACTCTCCTAAATAAAGTATGACAAGAATGGAAAACAAGTATCACATGTATTTAATACTTAGTTGAAATTTATAGATTAACAACAATGTGCACACTGAGAAAAACTCAATTAAATTCAAAGGCAAGAGGGGACTAGTAACTTCCATAGATAAATGGCATACTTCCTGGGTGAGTATGATAACTACAACTTGGACTTTACCTTACAAACCCAAACAATGTAACCTAATTGTACATACCTGCATGTTAGTTAATCCAAAATAAAAATAAACACATAATTTTTTTAACATATACATATGGAACAAATAGTTTCTTAAAAAGAAAAAGAAGAAAAAATGTCTGTTAAAAAAAAATTTGTAGGCTGGGTGAGGTGGTTCATGCACCCTAGGAGGCTGAGTGGGGTGGATTGCTTGAGCTTAGGAAGTTGAGACCAGTCTGAGCAAGAGTGAGAACGTGTCTCTAAAAAAAATAGCCGGGTGTTGTGGTGCATGCCTGTAGTCCCAGCTACTCAGGAGGCTGAGGCAGGAGGCTGGCTTGAGCCCAAGACTTTGAGGTTGCTGTGAGCTGTGACACAAGGGTACTCTACAAATGGCGACAAAGTTACACTTTGGTCTCAAACAAACAAACAAACCAAACTGTATAGGCCAGGCATGGTGGATCTAACCTATAATCCTAGCAATTTGGAAGGCCAAGGCGGGAGGATTCCTTGCGCTAGGGAGTTGGAGATCCTGTCTCTGCTAAAAATAGAAATATTAGGCTCGGCGCCTATAGCTCAAC